ATAATATCACTAAATTTATATTTCAAATTTATTTTTTAGAATTATAACAATTTGAATTCATTTTTTGTATTTTAAATGATTAATTTTAATTTAAGAACACAATAAAGTTTTAAATCAAAATTTTACAAACAGATTTTTAATGTGAAATCGACGGGAATCGTACAATATCGTACACACAATTTCGATTTTCGCCAATATTGACAATGTCGGTCGATGTAGACTGAAGCTGTTACAATATCCCTGTGCTACTTGGGTAACAAATCATACCTCTGGGGGTACCGATCCAGGAATTTCCTTGTCTTCTGAATTGGTTCAAAATTACAAGACTACGGAGTTGAATATTAGTTGTCGTAAACTCAACATTGGGACGGCTGTTCAACGATGGTTATAAAAAGAAAGAAATAAAAAAATTTAAACGTCAATATTTTCCACAAAAACACGAAACTAATTAGGTTTCAAAATATACATTTATTTTATGTAAGTTTGCTGTTGGTTTATTGAAATGTGTAACTTATTGGTTCTTTTAAACTAAATCTGTCATCATTTTTTGAAAATTTATTACCTCAAGTAATACTTCTATTTTAGAAAAAAAAATTTTTTAAATAAATTTTCCACTGAACAATGGACGTTTCTACCATTTCCTGACCGTTGCAAACAGAAATTCACAATCACAAAAATTCGACAACTTTTCGATTAGCTAGCGTGCTTAAATTTTTACCACCTCTGTGCCTGATAACAAAACAATTATAATTGTTTTCTGAATGCGGCAAACGAAATTTATCGCCAGCCAAAGTTTTTTATCACTTTCTGACTTAGTGTACAGGAACAGAATTAAAAAGAAAATAATAAAATAAAAAAAATTGAGGAAAACTAAGTAAAAAAAAAGAGAAAGGTTAAACCTAAAAGGAAAATAAGTAATGTAAAAAATTTTTTTAAAGTTAATTCCTACTTAGGTCAGCAAAGAAAATTTTTATTTTAGTTACTTTTTATTAAATAATTAAAATTTTTTTCCCATATAAAACTAAAATTAATGAATGAATTAATATTTGAAAAAAACTGAATTTACATAAAGTGTCATCCACTACAAGTTTAAACAAAATGTATTTGAACTTGAGTGGGTGAATGAAAAATATTTTATTAAACGATTGAAAATTTGAACAAGATATATAGGGAGAGTGTAAATTAATAATAGAAATTGAAAAACAATTTCCAAAGTAAACATTCTAAACACATTAAATTTATCAAATAATACTAATAACAAAAAAATGTAAGTGTGAAAATACGTAATAAAAAAGTGTAATAAAGAGAATCAAAAAATTTAAAATTTTTTATTAACATTGAATTATTCTTGAATTTGACCATATGTATTATTCTAAATCATTTCATCTGCCAAAATTACTTAGATAGCTTTTTAAACGCAAACAAAATAGCTTTTTAAACGCAAACAAAACTGCACTCTTTTCGGTGCTGTGCAAATCCCAAATTCGAATAAAAAAAAGAAAAAAGAAAAGTATATTTCAACGTGCTAAAGAAAACTAACTCGCGTAGTCAAGGATTACACAGTAAATATAATAAAATTTGCGGTTATTGGCGCATAACCTGCAATAATATCGGGTTTGGCGAAAATGGTCGATGGGATAATCCCAAAGTAACCAAAATTGAAATAATTACTTACACCTTATATACGAAAAAGTCCCGATTAATTGATAAAAATTCGAATTCACAATAAAAAGTTTTTATTGGAAAGATATTTATCTATGCATCACTTCTTTTTGTTACTGGTGATAAAAAAAAATTCTTTTTGTGTTATATTCTAAATTTTTTTTAATTGTGGTATTTTACAGAAGAAATTTGTAAAAATGTTGATAACATAAAAATTAAAATTTCATTTTTTTAAAAAAATTATGCAAGTATACGAATTCCGATTATAACTAGTGAAAATTTAAATCTAATTAAGTTAATTTTATTAATCCAGTTTATTTTGGTGTTCTTCAGAAAAATATGGAACAAATATTCAAAACAAGTCCGTGTTTTTTTTTCTTATTAATTTCAGTACGAATCACGATTCTATTAAATGAAAATTTGTATTCAGAAAAAAATAATGATAATAATCTCAGTGAGATATATTTGTGAGCGCATTATTTTTTTTTTTTCGGATGAAGAATTCTGCTGTTCCGTTTTGCTTTAGTAACTTCAGAACAAAAATAAGCAATTAGATAAACAAATGGGAAAAGAACGAAAGAAAAGCACATAAAATAATAGTTCGCTGGAATAAAAAACTTTGCTTTAAATAGGAAAAATCATGGAGCGTTGAAAAACTGGTCGTAATATTTACTTATTACGGAAGGGGGATTAAAAAAAACCTTTTGAGAAAGCTTTTTTTGCGACTTTCTCATTTGACGTGACCTTGCCAACCCTGTTATTTGTGTTGGAATAAATGAATGGAAGAAATGGAAATTAAATCAGTAACCTTGTTTATCACCTGATATATGACAACACCTATACTGTATTTATTGTTTTTGTTTTACCTGTCGCACATAAAACAAAATACGAATAAAATAATTAGTCAATCTGAATAGAATTGAAGTTTCTCATTTTATTGGTAATTGAGATTTTAGGAAATGGTTTTGTAACTTATTTTCTGTTGAAAGTTAGAATGGCGGAAAAAATACGAATGTTTTGTTAACCTTTCGGGATCATATAAATGAATTTCATTAAAGCACAAAAAGTTTTTTATTTAAACAACTCTGATACTAGTTTTTAATTTTTTTAAAAAAAGGTTACGTTTTTGGTTCGAGTGTGGTGATTTTTAGATTCGACATGGGTGGTTTTGGGTTTTTTACTGTATGCAAAATCTTCTTTCCTCCGTATTTTTTTATCGCCATTTTTATTATTAAATCTCACTTTTGAGTCATTTGTTAGAGCATGCGGCAGTCAAAAATTATGATTTTTGCCGCTATTTGTTCCACATTTGCATGGTACGTAGCGTTTTTAGAAAGTGCTTAAAGGTGCTTATTTTCGACTTTCATTTTTTAAAAGCCCTTAAAGGTGCTTTTTTCATTGGGTGTTTTTAAGAAGTGCTCAATTTTCCCTTTTCGAAAATGAGATTTTTTTCTTCACCATGTCGATTATCTCCACGTATTTAAACTAAACAAAAACATGTGCTTTTCAAATTGTTCTATTCAGCGTTTTCACAATTCATTCATTCAACCACAATCTATTTCGGCGTACCGTCGGTCCATAGCGTATAAAAACGCTAATCATTTTGCATGTTTGATGAAATCCTTGAAAGTCCACATGTGAGTCTACTGAGCTCTCGAGGGTTTGGTGAGATTATTGCACTCTCATGTGCAACTCCGCTGCATTTTGCAAGATATTATCAATTTCAAGCTTCATTTTCCACCTTCGGATATCGAACCGAAAAACCTCTTCCTCTTTTTGTATTGGCTAATATAATCAAGTAAAGAGTTCTTAGTCAGAAACTAGATATTTTATCATGATTAAATAAAGTCTTTGAAAATTATTTTGTTTTTTTATTAACGTATATAGTGCTTAAAGATAGTTTTTGAGTGTTTAAAAGGTGCTTATTTTTTGTTGAAAGATTTGGCTACGCACCCTCATTTGCATAAAAATAAATAAATAAAAAAGTGTGAATTCAACGATTTAATTGCTCCAGAAGTAATACAAAAGTTTACAGAGTGTAATGCTTTGTTCATTTTCAGACATAAGTACATGGCTACAAAAAATCAACTGAATTACGCAACTCATAAAAAGAAAAAGAAAAAAATCAGCTTAAATTAATTATGGGTGAAAAGTAAGATAGGAGTTCACACAACCTCTTTGAGTGAACTTTGAGCACCTTTGCCCAGCTGGTTAAAACAATAACAAAAGGCTGGTTGAATAACAAATGTTTAGACATGTAAACCGCAACCAATAAAATTTTTATTACAACAAAATTTAAATTTTTAAACCTAAGCACTATTTTTTTTTGTTTTTGTTTGTTTGTCATATCACTTACAAGGGAAACTAGGGAAGTAGGAAAACTAGGAAACTACTCGCCAATTTTGAAATAAACTAGTGGGATGTATGCCTTATGAGGAATAATTTTACTGGGCAACATTCGTTTCGGCCCATAGAAGGTCCTATGAGAGATAAAAAATATTTCAATATATAGAAAAATCGGTATTTTATTACTGTTGTTGTAGTTCATTTACGTCGCACAAGAGCTGCACAATGGGCTATTGGCGACGGTCTGGGAAACATCCCCGAGGATGATCCGAAAACATGCCATCACAATTTTGATCCTCTGCAGAGGGGATCGCACCCCGCTTCGTTAGCCCGACGACCTGCACGCGAAGTCGAGCATTTTATTACTTCAATGCAGACTATTAGTTATTGTAATTGTCTCATACTCCAATTAATTTGTAATTAATTGGTTAATTAATTACTTTTCTAATTAATAAATTAATTGGTAAATATACTAATTAATTATTAATTAAGTAATTATTAATTAATTATGTATTAATTATGTATTAATTATGTATTAATTAATAATTATGTATTAATTAATTATTAATTAATTATTAATTAATTAATTGATTGATTTGCAATTACATACTCCAATTAATTTAGAAAAATTTTTTTTTTAAACATTTTAAAAAGTTTGATGTCAATTTTTTTTTAAAATTAACCTAACAGGTTTTTCTGAAAAACTACAGAAATATAAAATTTTCGAAATCAATTTTGACAATAAATATTAATATATAGTATGTGAAAGTACCACAAAATTAATTGGAGTATGAGATAATTACAATGACTAATAGTCTGCATTGAAGTAATAAAATACCGATTTTTCTATGTATTGAATTATTTTTTATCTCTGACAGGACCTTTTATGGGCCGAAACGAATGCTACCCCCTAAAATTATTCCTCATAAGGCATACATCCCACTAATTTATTTCAAAATTTGGCGAGTCACACTTCCCTTGTTAGTACAAAAAATCCTTTTAAAATATATTCATTTAAAAAAAGAAAAAAAAACCATCTTCACAGAATGAAAGTACAAAATAAATCAGTAAATGCATATTTTGATAAGTAATATAAACTTAAAAAAAAAGAAAGAAAAACAAATTTTTAGAACGCTTGCTCATAACACATTAAATTAATACAATAATATTAAAATTGAACATTATTTTTTTGTCAAAATTGTTGGTTACCGTTGGTTTTGATTAAATTATTGAAATCGCTTATGAAAATATAAAATTATTTTTTAGAAGTAAATTATCATACAGAATTTGTGAAATATTTTCTCATGTTGTATCTCTTGAAAAAATCCCCGTGGACACCCTTAAAAATAACTTAATATCTAGCAACCATATCAGTAACATTTTTTGAAAACATTTGTTTATAATTCTGAAAATTAAATATTTTTTTCATTTTTGATACACTGTTGAAATATGTTATATTTATGAATCATAAACACGTAGAGAATGACTTACTTGTGTGGTAATTGTTTTAACGATTTCATTTTTTCAGGGTGTGGAGTATGCATTGAGTGGTTCAAGAACTCCCACCAGCTTTGATAAGCTTTCCATTCCAACACCAAGAATGGATGGATATGGATTATCTTTGGCTACTCTGGAAGGTATATTGACGCCACTTAAGATGAATGTTTTTTTTTTTTTATAGCAGCTTGCAGAGGTGTGTCAAGAGAGGAAAACTCCTCAATTAGATGACCTTTTTTAAAAAAAGGAGTGTCTGACGTAACTACCACTATAAAAATTAAATACCAATTCAATAGTATATAAGACATGTTAACTTGATTCAATCTTGAGGTACCTCTTGATAGATAAAGGCTGACATATTCAATAATCATATCGCCTTATCGATGACCTCCGGCCGTGATATGAACTCGACAGAATCGATGAATGGTCCACATTAAAATGTTGATTTGTTCCCAAAATAGCGCTCTAAAATCCGGTGAAGTAAATACTATTCTCCTGGCCAATTAAAGAAAAAAATGAGCAAGAAGAATAAAATAATGAATAAATAAATGAACAGCATAAATCAACTAGTGGTATTCGTTCATCGAACTCCATCAAAGATAAAATTCTGGAAGGGGAGTAATGTGGCGTAATTACCATTACAAAAATTAAATGCCAGTTCAATACTATATAAGACACGTTATCTTGATTCAATCTTGAGGTACCTTTTGATAGATAAAGATTGACATAGTCCATAATCATATCCCCTTATTTGAGGGGTAGATAATTATCGACTATGTCAACCTTTTTCTATCAAAAGGTACCTCAAGATTGAATCAAGTTAACGTGTCTTATATACTATTGAATTGGTATTTAATTTTTGTAATGGTAATTACGCCACAAGTGCAGTCTGGATGGAGAGCGCAAAAAAAAAAAAAAAAAAAAAAAAAAAAAAAAAACAACAACTTATTATTTATAAATTAAAAGACATTGAAAGATACATTTTAATACAATCTGTAAAATTTTTATACCTATCTATGTATAATGCACGTGGAAATTCTTTCTTATCAATTTATTATTTCTAACAAAATATTCCCAAACTCAAAAATGACTTACATTTTAAAGACTTTAAACAGGTCATAAAATTTCAATTCTGAAGAAACTAAGGTACTAGCCAAACTAAAATGTTCACTCACCACTATTTTTACGTAAAATATGATAAATTTTTAAAATTTTAAAAGATGAGGTTTAAAGAACATGAGGCCAAAAAAAGCCATAAAAAATGTAGAAACTGAAAATTATGGAATAGCACAAAATATTATAAATTGGAGATGATTTGGGAAACTCTCTGAACATTCATAACAGTCAAATTGCTCCAATATCTGAGTCATTGTTAGTGAAGCGAGCATAAATTCGAATTCTGCCAACTTTGTGCGAACTTCTGCCAACAATTTTTTTCGTAAATAAATAGTTGTTGTTGTTGTTAATTTACGTCGCACTAGATAAATAAATTAATTGTCACGTAAATAAATAAATTGATCAATTTATATTTATTCATAAAATTAATTAATAAAATATTATGTGAATAAAAATTAATGTCTGGCAATTTTTTAAATAAAATATTATAAATTTAAGAATTGTTTAAGTTTACTTAATGCGTAACACATTAAAAGTGATACATTACTAAGTTGTGTTATTTAAAATATGTCAATTGAAATTATTAAAAATGTGAGTGATTTTGCTTCCATTATTCATCTGAAATGAATATTCCGTGTTGAGCAGTATAGGCTAAATACCAAATAACAGGGCCCTATTTGCACAAATTCACAAAAGCATGACCCTGGTTAAAAGAATGTGACTAAACACTTATTTTATATTCACAAATTATGAATAGTTTTTTCACAATTTTACAAAAGCAGGACCTTTCACAAAATGTCTGGACAGACCCCTGAATCTATTACGCTATTTTTAGTAATGATAATTTCATTGTTTGCTTGCAGATAGTCAAGATATTGAATTGGATGCCATTTTAGGGGAGCTTTGTGCCTTAGAAAGTCAGCTGGATCCAGATCTTTCGCACAGGGGCCATGCACGGAGTGTCAGCACTGTCATCCAAAATAACATCACTGGAGAAAACATTCGGTATTCAACTTCTGGGATTTCTCTTTGCCCGGAAGTCCCTCCTTCCACCCAAATGGGACCCAAACGCTTTTTTACACACCGGAGATCTAGCTCTGGAGGTGGCAGTAGATCAAAATTCGAAGTGAGTGGAGATATGGACTGTGATGATCAAATAAAAAATCACAAAATGGAATTAGGACTGAGAACAGACAGTCCTGACAATGATTCCGCCTTCTCGGATAGTGTTTCGATGCTCTCATCTGAATCATCTGTATCATCAGGTGGAAGGACCGATACGGGAATTTCTAGTCAAGGTTCATCGAAAACTAACAGTATTGCTCTTATACCATCCCCTACGCAAGTAAGTTGTTTTCCTAAATTTTTGTGGTACTTTTTGGAGTTTGATGTCTTTTTCTAACTATAAAGATTTGCTTTATGCCCTTACTATTGGAACAAAAAACAAACAAACAAAAAAACAATTACTATATTACTATGCTTCTGCTTATGAACTCCTTGGCAGAATTGCGGCGACATTGTCATAGAGTGTTATCGAGTTCTTGCAGAGAGATTTTTCCTTTGGGAAGTAAAAAAATTTTGGTTTTCTTTTCTGCAGAAATTTTTGTTCTATCTTTTTTTATTTAGTTATTAGTATTGATTTCCAGATAGTTTTTAAAATCCTATATTTTTAATTTCATATTATTTATTACATCAACTTAATCTTTAAATGAATACACGCATTTAGTAACTCTTTTTCGAAGAGTCCGATTCACGTGATTTCGCCTTCCATTTTTTATCGGTAGTCACTGCTTTGGATTTCACGATTTTTTTAAATGTGACGATGATTTCGAAAATGCGAAAAGAGAAATTATTAGCATGTTTTTCCCTACAAAATGCGAGAATATCTGTCCTAATATTAGAATAGGAAAAAATATTATTAAAAAAAGTTATATTTTATTTTAACCAAATTTTTTTTGACGTTTCTGTTACTTTAAATTAGTAACATGTATATTTGTTATTTTTAAAAGTATCTCACAGAAAGATGTTAGTATTAGAGAGGCATGTGGCAGGGCTTATGCATTATAACACATCAACTCCTTTGAAAATTGTAGAAAGGATGTAAAAAACAATTATTAAGCATCTCATAGGATGTGTTATCGCCAGTGTGAAAGAAAATGATTACTAGTAACAAAACTAATTAAGGAAGTAGATAAAAGGAAAAAGTTTTGCAATTCTAGTATTTATGAGTAAATACTTACTATAATTTTGTATACTCATACATATGTTATCGTGAATGACCGAAATCAAGAGAATGTCAACTTTCACCTATGAATGTCAACAATCACATAGTTCCTTTGGTGAATGTCAAAAATATTAGTTTTATCCGATTTGATATTAATTTATTCGTTGATATTATTATATTTATTCGATATTTTAATGCTGAGGATAGATTAGGAGAAACACCAATGTTCAGAGTACTGGTTAAATACATACCGGGCAGTAGCACCTAACCTTAAAAAACATCAGTGTAAGGTATACCGGGCAGTGGCACTTAACCGGACCTAATATATATTTCTGACATTTAAGAAAGCCACTATGTGATTGTCAACATTTACCGGTGAAAATCAACAACCACCAATTTCGGTCATTCACAGTAACATATATATTAAGCAACCTCAGATTATAATGTCCATTTTCGTTTGGAGCACAAGGCTCGTTGTATCGAGCTAAGATCAAACTGTATTATAATCTCTATTCAGATTTAAATATAGTACACATAATTAAAAAAAAAATCCTGGTTACCCAGTTATCTTGCCGCTTAAAGAAATTATAGCTGATGCCCAATTAGTTTACGAGTACCACCAGCATTTCAATAGAATCAATGTGACAACCGCCTCATGCTCTCTATGTAGGGAGGGATGGTTCTATAAATGGACAGCATACCCTTATTATCTCTGTTAAAGGATGTTATCACTGGTGCATAGTTGTTAACTCTACTGGATTTTGCCTGTTTCTCCTGATCTACTGGTTTAATAAAATTTCTCCTGGTTTTTGTACATTTTGAAAATTCTTTAAAATTGAGTAAATTTCCTAAAAAAATCCTTATTAAAAAAATGTACTCACTTTTATTGCTCATTTGAATGTTTAAATAAGTATTATGAATTCATAATGAATTATAGTCAGTTTAAAGCAGGGTTGGGTTTTTGACGTCAAAAAGTGGTTTTTGACATGACAGGGGTATAATACTGGTTTAAACCGTCAAAAACCCGTCAAAAATGTCAAAAACTGAAGTNGAATTCATAATGAATTTTAGTCAGTTTAAAGCTTTGTTTTTATTTGTTCTAAAATTTACTTAGAACTTCCTTTGTAAATTAATTAAATATTTAATAAATTAAATTATAATTAATTAATCTATGTTCAATGAATTAAATGTCTATTACTATTTAAAACAGTGAGAAATCACAAAAGGATAATATTGTAGACCATTTATAGTTCATTAGCGTAATAAAGTTATTGTAGTTTAATGACTTTAAAAATCTCTTAAAATTCTCTGTGTGCAGAATATTTGGTATATTATGCAACAGTTATTATCAAATTAATATTATCTCGCAAAATCTACTGGATTTTTCTTATCCATGTTGGCAGCTATGCTGGAAATACTTCTCCTTTTGGTATGACTAATGATTTGCCCATGCAGAGTGTGGGATATATTTTTTTTCCTTTTTTCGATGACATTTATATTTGTATGCATGTAAGTAAACCTAGGCATTTACAGATAGGTGAGAAATATTTTATTTAGTATCTAATACATTTCATAATTCTTAACATAAAAAAGCATAACTAAATTTTAATTCAAATTAGTCTATCATAAAAACACAACTCTACTGTACCATGTTTTATTATCAACTGAATCTTTCTGAAAACTGCACTATTTTCAGATAATTCCGTATTTGCATGCTTGCATTAAATAAGAACATAAAAATTGATGCTCAGTTTAATGAACTTCGTTTTCTGACAATATTTATATTTGTTAATTGTTTGCATATTTTAAACAATATTATGCTTTGCTTTTTTATATTCACATTACTGAAAAATTCATGTGCCTCATAATAAAACCATTTATGTTTTCTTTTTATCTTTAGCTTTTGGATAACATTTCAAGACGCCTTCAAGCCTTAAAAGTGGAAGTAGAGAAAGAGAATTCACCACCTGTAAGTTTTTTCAAATTTGATAAAATTTTTGTGATTGATTTTCTATCAAAACAAATTTGTATTTATTCACTGTATCTGTTCACTATAACTATTTACAGTGCTTATACTGTTGTGATTCTATTTATGCTTAGAATTTGCTTCCAAGATTTAACCTACTTTGGAATAGAAGCTAGAATTTTTATTTATTTCTGAAATCTAGTTTGTATGTTAAATTAACAAAATAAGACAAAAACTTCCTTTCAAATATTGAATTTAAATGCAACGCTTCGAAAGATCTTTTGATTTTCCACAGAATTTTTGATAATTTTAATTTTTTTTTTATCAGGTTTTAAAATTTTTTATCAGGTTTTTTTCATAATTTTACTTCCATTATAAATAACTTATTTCTTATCTTCAATAATGCATACTGGATTGGTTCTTTTCTCCTCTGTGTTTCGCTGTTTTAAAAATTGTTTTGAAGCTAATTAAATTTGCATGCATGTATATATTTAAAATATTGCAGTTTTTCAATTAATTAAACGCAGTATTGGTTTCATAAAATCTTTCTTAGCTATTTAGTTATATAGCTTTCTTAAAAGTGTGATGTGCGATCTGTCTGTAAAAGGAGCTAAAAGAAAGAGAAAAAAAAATACTCTGGCACAATAAAAATAAAATAAGCATGTATTGTGTAATTATTCTTCAAGGAGAACCATAAATGTGTGTGACCTGAATGAACTAGAAGGTTAGAATAGAAAAAAACTACATTTATGTGGCTTGACCCTTTAGTAATAATATAAGTGTTTTCCTCCATATTCTAACCAACCTATACCTATAAGAATTATAACCTATTCTAATCATTTATGCGTTTATTTTTATTTTTGCTTATACAATTGACTCCTAATTATCTAATAGTCTGTATTGNGTCATGTCAAAAACCAGTGTTTGACGGCAAAAACCCCACACTGGTTAGAATAGAAAAAAACTACATTTATGTGGCTTGACCCTTCAGTAATAATATAAGTGTTTTCCTCCATATTCTAACCAACCTATACCTATAAGAATTATAACCTATTCTAATCATTTATGCGTTTATTTTTATTTTTGCTTATACAATTGACTCCTAATTATCTAATAGTCTGTATTGCGCTCAATATGTTCTTCAAAATATTTCCTAGAAAATTCTAGCTTTTATGCATTTAATTTTTATTAATGCTTATGTACAATTTCATGTTAATTGTATATAACTCTTAATTATGTATTTGTCTGCTTCTCTCTCAAAATATTTGCAAGAATCCAAAATTTCATGTTATTAATGTTTATTAATGCTTATGCTATTATAGTAGCAAATTATTTGTGATTGGATTATGTGTATAATCTGAATCCAAGATAAACTCTTATTTGTAATACAGGGTTGCTATTTGACAGGGAGAATAGGGAAAACCTGGAAAATGCTAGGAAATTTTAAAATAACAGGGAAATGCATCGAATTTTGAGTTTTTCTTTACTAACTGGGAAACTACAGGGAATTTTGTTTTTTATTTTCGTCTTTTATAAAATTGTGACCACTCAAAACGCAATCTATGGGAGGGATATTTAAAGATGATATTTTAGCTACACTAAACTATTTAATTTACTATAGCATTATTTATTTTAAATATGTTAAGGCTGTACTTTTTCTCTCTCAGTTTCTCTAGTAATTAAATTTAGTATAGTTAACACAATATAACTTGCACAAAAGCACAGTGATAGTGTGTTAATATATTATGTACATTAACACACTTATCACTGGTCTATATATACTATAGGGTCAGTACAGGGAATTTTTTTTCCAGATTAGAGTGGCAACCCTGTAAATAGTTTAGTAAAATATATTTGAAAGGTGTTTCAAAAATATTGCGATGAACTTGTAGTGAAGATGTGTTTCGTCTTAAGGATTGATAATTGAATTGCAAACCATGATTGGAAACAGCAGGGGACAGAAGTAGCTACTTCAGCACAAATCTTCTGAGCTGAAAGGACACAATAGTGTGATTAATTGAAAAGCCTTTATGGGACAGGTTAAAAGCCTTTATGGTGGCGCTCCGATAGGACAGTCTCCACTGGTGGTGAACAAGAGTTATGACATCAATCTTAGCAACCGATTGAACATCCGTTAATAAATATTTTTTTACTGGATAGATTATCGGTAAAAAATATTTATTACTGTATACAGGGTATCTGCCCACCTGGAAAGTCACGAAAAATCATGGAAAGTCAATTTCGGTATTGAACAAAATTAATCATGAAATGTCATGATTTTAACTATTTTTTTAAAGAAAATCATGGAAAGTCATGGATTTAGATAGCTGAAAAATCTAATTTTTAAAGTGAAGTTTAAAAATACCCCCTCCATTTCATGGTGTTCCGAATATCTGAATTTGTAATAAAGTCTCCACTCGCTATTTTATTAAAATATAAAATGTTTTTATCATGTTCTTTAAAAGTTCTGGTATTTTTTTCAAAAAATGAAATAAAAAACATTTCTAGAGCGAATTATCTTTTAAACTTCTGTGATTTCAGAATTTTTGTTATTATTTATTTTTTATTTTATCAATTTAAAATACTATCTGAAGCAAGCCAGTCATTGGCGAATTTTTTTAATTCCGAAATGAGACCAGAAAAATCGGGAGTATTTCTTTCCTTTCGGATGAACAAGAAAAGTATTTTTAGAATATAATTCCGCAGAAAAATAATTTGCTTTTGTATTTTTTTCAGCTATTTTATTGCTTCAACTCTTTCTTTGCTCTGTTTTTTTTCAATTTAAGATCTTTAAATATGAAGATGCAGAGTATAACAGTTTTGGTTATGCCTATCATTTCAATAAATGTTATTATAATGTTTTTTTAAATGTATTGTTGTGTTTTTGTCGGAGAAAATAGTAACTTCGTTAAGTCAGGAAAAATTCTAGGAATGAGTCACGAATTTGAAAATCTACAGTGTAGCAGATATCCTGTGTATATTTTTAAAGTTAATTTTTGCATGGATTTATCTTTAGATAAACGAATATTATAATTGTGAGCAAAATTTTTTCATTTCGCCTAAAGAGTTCTCGAGATTTCGGGAGATATGCAAAAGATAAAAATTAACATTCCAAATTTTGGACCGCTCTTCTGACTAAACTATTGGAAGCATACTTCTCTGATTGCAGCTGCTCTTTTTGGGTAAAAAAAAGTATGTTTATTCAGAGAAAGTGCGATTTTGTAACTTAAAATATTGTCCGCACTAATTAATTAGCATATTTGATGCCACCCCCTTGAACTATTAAGATTGAGTCCTAGAACGAGAAAATCCAATAATTAGATCAAAAAGTATTCAGGTTGTTCTGTTTTTTATTTCGCTCACTGTGCAATTACATTACCAATCATGGGTTGCTATGCAATTCTCAATCTTTATATCTCCCCTAAAAATTTGAGATACCCTGTTTACTATTAGTATTTTGTTCATAGGAATGTAGGGTATTTCAGGATGATGAGATACTTTCTTGCAATATTTTATCCAGTAATATTTTGCCTTGCAATATCTCTGCATCTGCAGGGATATCTTTAATTCAGTGGTTGACTGAACTATAAAATCTGAACTACTAATACTTATCTATTAACTCTTTCTTCTCCTTTTTTTTCAAATATTAATGTGGTTGATGGCAGCTTTTTTGCTTCTCTTTCTTTCTACCTGTCTTAGGCGGAACAAGCTGCTCGCATTAAAGCAGAAAAGATCAGAATTGCTTTAGAAAAAATTAAAGAAGCTAGCGTGAAGAAGGTAGAACTTGTTTCTCTGATGTTCCCTAAATCTGTATAAATGTTTCTTTGCTTGCATTTTCTCTTCTATGCTTCTGTTGTGTATTTTCTGCAATTTTATTTGATTTGTAATTTTGTAGTATGTAGAAATTGTTAGCAATTATGTAGAAATTGTTGACAAACTGTCACAAAAAAACAGGTGATAAAAAAAAATTCAGCAGAAGATTTTTATAATGCAAACCTTAGGGGGACTTTACATTATATTGAATTTTGTGTTACATAGCGCATTTCATGTATCTCATCTATTAAAAATGGCATCTATAGAACAGATCAATATTAATGCTTTAAATGATTTTTAAGTACATTGCAGATTTTTTAAAACTCAAATATATGCTCTTAACTAATTGTTCTTTTGAAAAAAAAATTGAAACTGTTTTGAGCATTAAAAATAAAATCCAACAAATTTTGGTTTGCTTTAGAGATTGTTAAGTTAATGTAGTTTATGGTTATTATTGCAATTTATAGAATTGTGTTATATAAATCTTCTGTATATTATTTTGTAAAAATTATTTCTCTTTTAACTAATAAAGTTTTTTTTAATTATTTTATAAAGAGTAAGTTAAAAAGTCAAAGTATTTTATTAACTAATAAAGGAAAAAAACCTCTAAAGTCTTATATCAGACTTTATAAAGGTTTTTTATTGAATGTGCTGCAAATTAGTGATCAGTAATGTTTTCAGTTCCTTTTCATAGTCAATGTTCGAAATAGTTTGTTCCTATAGTTCTCTAAATTTCGTTTCTGCACAAAGCCAGTTTAAATCTGGGCCAAACCACCAGATTTTGCATTCTGCAATGTCCCCAGCATTTAGGCTATGGGACATGACTTCAGCTGGATTATTGTCTGAAGATATATCTTTAAAAAAATGCAACCGATTAAATGTTATATTGGTTATTTTTTGAATTAAGAATTTTCATGCATTTCAGTTTATAACACCTCTTGTTATTAGTGTCTTTTAAAACCTGAATTTAGAATTGTTATTTTGTATTTATCTGTGCGTAAAGAAAAGTAAATTAGAAATTTTACTATTAATATATGTTATTTCATATATATATATATATATATATATATATATATGTTTGATTGATTTCCGAACAAGTTATTACTTAATAATGGAGAAATTTCTCTTTTTTTAAATGTTGTACAAAAAATGCAAAACTACATTGAATTGCCAAATCTTAAAAGTTTGCTAGTAATTTTATTTAGTTTCTGAAAATGTAAATTTTTTTTTTTTAGATATTTATTAAAGCTTTCAGCGCTGACAACAGTGCTAAAAGCTTATTGGTGGATGAAAGAATGACCGTGGGTCAAGTTTGTCGTCTGTTGGCAGACAAGAATCATGTACCCATGGATCCTAGGTGGACACTTGTGGAAAATATACCAGAATTGTTTATGGGTATGAAAATTTTCTTGACTTCTTTTGTAATGAAATGTGTTTGATTTAAACTGATTGAATAATTAACATTTGAAGTTTCAATAATTTCACTAATGGGAATTTTAAATATACTGATATATTTCAAACAATATGGAAAATTTGAATTATACATTTGAGTATTTACTTTTTCGGGCAATAATTCTATGGAATTTTTGGCAGTTATTGCTATTGAATTTTTAATTGTTTTTAAGTCCGACATTTTTTATACTATATTATTTATTACAACAAATTAGTCTCGAAATGAAACACGTATTTGAGAAGTCCAATTCGCATTTACTCTCATGGCCTACCGCTGGCTGTTACGAGAATACTTTACATTATTAGTAAACTCTCCAGATTTTAACCGCATTGAGTTTCCATGGCCTCTCTGAAGGAGACTGGATTGCAGAATGAAAAATAACCAGATTTGTTCTTAGATATAGTATAAAGATTTTATAATTTTTTGGAAATTGTTGAAGGCGAATTATCAAACCTAAAAAGTGTTAGCATTTATTCCAAAATGAGTGGGATCGGTTTTGAAATACAAAAGAAAGCATATAAAATATTTATTTGAAACAAAATATGCTCATTAAATAAATAGAAGAACAACCCAAGAAACTGAAGCAGTAAGATGCTGCTCAATTAGAAACTTTATTCGCTTCAAAAATATATAAATAGGAAGTAACGGCCGGCAAGTTTCCAGCGCTCAAATTCAAGGGCCCCTTCTTTGGCCGACTGTTATTTCCTACTTTAAACTTTTTAATCGAATAAAGTTTTTAATCAAGTAAAATCTATTCATATTTCTGATCAAATATTGTTCTCTAAAATGTTGTGTTTCAATCATACTGTGGCCATTGCGGTTGTTGTGAAAATTCCTGTAACAGTTATAAAAGTTTATATAGAAATATGTTATGTATGCTTATTGTATATTCATTCTAATCATGAGGCCTTTACTTGATGTTTCTCTTTTGATTCTTTTTGGCAGTTTTATTGCTTTCTATTATTTATATTTCAGTTAAAGCCTACGATTGTGTATATGCTTAGTCTGCCATCTGTTAACAGAGGTGCTATAATGTTTTTTATGTAATTATTATCCGTACATACGATTAATCTAAATATTCGAAGAAAGGTAACACTTAAGTGTTTTTTTTTTTAAGTATTTAATAGTAGGTTCATGTGTAATTTTGTTAAAATTATATACCTATGTAGAATAGTACCAAAAACATCCTAAAATTGTTCTAATTTGAACTTTCATTAATACTAACTGCACTTGTAAAAACTTGAAAAGTTTGCACTTCAGTTTTAAAAATATAATTTAAAAGCTTGTGTTTGAACTTAAAATGTATTGTTAGACTGAATCCATTTATTTGTTTCAACCCAAAAATTATAAGTCCAAAAACTTAATTTTTTTCATAATCCTCTGACTATAAACTTCTCTTGTGCATAAACTTCTCTTGTCTTGTCTATAAACTTCTCTTAAAAGAAATTTGATTCATATAAATATTCTATGTTTTGCATTCTTTGTTTTAATATATGTCTTCTTAATTCGTAGAGAGGTTGTATGAAGATCATGAACATCTTGTTGAAAACCTATTGTTGTGGGCAAGAGACTCGCCAAATAAGTTAATGTTTTTGGAAAGAGATGAAAAATATGATTTATTTATTAATCCAGAGGTACTATCTTGATTTTTTATTTTATTTTTAAATTTATTAATTTTTCTTAAGGAGAAAATATGTTAAGGTTCATATCGTTTGCTGAATAAGCGTTGGAGTTTCACAGACAATATAAAAAAAGTATAGAAAACTATTTTCTTTACTTTTTATTTTCTCATTAAGAAAAAAATTAGTTTTTAAATAATGAATCAGTTACAGTGTTAACCAAATAATCAGGATCTCATAACAACCAAATAAGCAAACAGCATTGACTTAATTGTATTAACTTTTAACATTTAATTCAGTATTAAATATTAAAGGAGATCAAAAGTGATTGGTTTACGAGTTTTAAAAAGTTTACATTCTGTTAAATATTATCCAATGTTTAAACAAAATCTAATAAAACCTTCTGAGAAATAAAAATTTATAAGACTGAATTGATTAGAACCAAATTTTCTATATTGCTATTTAAAATTGCGTAATTGTGACAACAATATTATATCATTCAAAGATTATTCAAACATTATTAAATTAAGTAATAAAAATTATAATTGTTAAATATTTTTTGAATTTTTTTTTTTTGTTTAAATGAAACTGCCTAGCATGCATTTAATTGGTACACCGAACACTGATGTTTCTCCTAATCTATCCTCAGCAGATATTAAAATTTCGAATAAATATAATATCAACGAATGAATTAAAATCAAATCGGATATAACAAATATTTTGGACATTCACCAAAGCGACTGTGATTGTTGACATTCACCGGTGAAAGTAGACATTCTCTTGATTTCGGTCATTCATTGTAGCATATATATTTCATATTGTTTGAAAACACTACAGTTATAATTAATAATATATTCAATGTTTTTTTTTATATATAGGAATATCTTCTAATCGGAAGTTCCTCTGAAAAAGGATCTGAACTTGATGATGATGCAAAGACTTCCTTGTTAGAAGTAAGATAAATATTTACAAACCGTATATGTTATAATGTACCATATACATACCTTATATATGAACACTGTTTGGAATTTATCGATGTTTTTGCAAAAATCTGTGTGGTAAATTCTGAAACTTAGTGTTCTAAATTTTCGATTATAAGAGACATAAGGTTTGATTTTTTTTTATATGTAACTGGATAACAATACTTTTCTTTAACAATATTGTTAAAAAAAATCGTGTGGAGAAAAAAAAAGTTAAAAATGTTATTTTAAATGGCTCAGGCAGAAACGATTCCTTTTGCTCTGCTAAGATAAATATATACTTAACTTTTTATGTGTATTCTGAACAAAAATACAGTAACTTGTATTTTTTATTACTTTAAATAACTGTAAAGAATATTATTTTGTTAAAAATAATTAATATATTGCTCTTTTTTGCAGGAATTCTTTTCATCGTCTAGTGTTCCAGAGGTTGAAAGTGCTCTTTATTTAAAAAGTGATGGCAAAAAAGCTTGGAAGAAGCACTTTTTTGTATTAAGAGCTTCTGGTATTTATTATTGTCCCAAAGGAAAATCAAAAGTAAGTTTTAACTAAATGATCTAAATCAAATGTAACTATTTCCTAAGATTTTTCCCTTGTCTTTTAAAAGACTAATTTTAATGGGTGCTGGTGTAAAGCTGTTTCTTAATAACTAAACTTCAAATTAAAATTGCATGCTTGGAACAATTTTTTTTCAATTATGATGAAAAAAGAACTTTAAAAAAAAAAAAAAAANAAAATTAAAAAAAAAAAAAAAAAAAAAAGGAATAAAAATTGTTTATCAAAAATTGTTTAAAGGAAAATCGATTGGGGAATTAGTAGTGAGGAAGTATGTTTCCACTGTTATTATGAAAATAATTGTCACAGAAAAAAAATTGGAACCAGTACGAAGCTGTTCCTTAACATCTTATCCCTCACAATTTTTTCAAATTGTGTGCAAAAGAAACAACAATAAATATTGTCCTTTAAGATTGCTGCTTCTTATACAGAATTACTTTCAATGCAATTCTGCCTGGAATTTACAGAAATGAACGCAATTCTGTCTTGAAGTTATAGAAATGAATGCAACTTTGTCTTGAAGTAATAGGAATGAATGCAATTCTGTCTGGAAGTAATAGGAATGAATCCAATTTTGAATAAGAAGTAATAGAAATGAATACAACACTGTATAGAAAGTAATAGGAATGAATTTGACTAATGGATATAAATAGAGTTAGATGTAATGATTGATATCATTTCACTAAATTCGCCATTTATTATATGGTTTTTTACGCATGGTTGGGCTGTAAAATATTCTCGTGCTGATGATTTTAATGTTCCTCCTTAGGGCATCAAAAAAGATATAAAAAAGAAATTTCTAGCCTATCATAATATGGTAGGTAGCAGCTGTTAAAATATAAACTGAGAAGCAAATGTGTTAGCTTAACCCTTAAAAAGGACGCCATACCACTGAAAAAACTTTTCTTTGCAAATTTTCATTCACCTCCATTACTAATTCAAAATTTAACAAAGTGAGTTCAGACAAACCTAGAGTAAGCCATAAAGTTTCAATTGCTGAAAAAAATCTTCAAAATATCAAAATGCAAACAAATGCGAACTTCTCCATTACGTAATCCTAAGTTATCTGCTCATAATTTATTTTCATTTTGATATTTTAAAAATTTCTTTTCAGTATTCGAAATTTCATGACTTACTCTAGGTTTGTCTGAACTCACTTTTTCTAAACTTTTAATTTCAAATTAGTTTTGGAAGTGAAAGAGAATTTGCGGCGAATAGTTTCTCCCCTGCTATGGCGTTCCCTTAAGTGCATCAAGATGAATCCTTGTTACCGAAATATTACAGAGGTGATAGTAAGATAAGAAAATTTATAAACTGGTGCAAAGGATAAGTAACTAAAAGATTGTTAGTCTGTACTCTTTTCAATGGTCTACTTACATGTATTTATTAGATATATATTTCTTTTTTTAAATTAACAATAATAATGTGAATTTAAATGAAAAATTACAATATAGATATTGTGTAGCATCTTATTTACAATGAAATATGTTATTTAGTGATAATAAAAAAAAACAGACCGGGTTAGTAATAACCTTGCAAAATAAATGGAAAAACTTGTATAGTATAAATCTTAAAAAACTATTCTGATCAAAAATCGATAGCTCTCTAATGTTCCATAAATGATCTTGTGCTTCTATTTTTAATTCATCTCGTTATAAGTTTTTTTTTATTCATGCTTTTGTTTCCCAAATATTTTTTTAGATACTTATAGACTTTATAGGTGCCTGGCCAAAATTGTTATGTGACTGTTGTACATTGTTAATATATTTTATTTTATTTGCTTTTAGTTGTCTAAAGATTTGATTTGTTTAACAACATTTGAAATGAGTAATGTTTACACAAGTATTGGTTGGAAGAAAAAATACAAAGCTCCTACAGATTTTGGATTTGCTATTAAAGTAAGTTTTTTTTTTTTTACTTGTTGGTGAATCTTCTGTCATGAATACAAAACTACTGGTACTTCATAACTTGGATACATATGAAATGAAACTATTATTTTTAAGTCATCTAAATAATAGTATGCAAAAAAAATTTGTTGATCAATGAATATTTTTTTAAAAAAAAATCAAGTGATTTAAATCAAGTCAACCCTGATACTATATAGCACTAAATTATTAAATTTTTTAATATTTCAATTATCTTTATTAAGTATGGTCCCCTGTGTCAGAATTTTTTCGAGCTTTCTGCGATAATTCCCGCTAGTACTAATACCTTTCTGAAAGACATTTGTAATCGTAGCATATATATATATATATTACTAATTTCAAGTAACAGAAGTACTTCTGGTTTACAAAAATAAAAATTTAAAAAAAAAAGCCGTCATGTATGGAATAGAACAAAATATTATTTTTTAAATTATGAATAATAAATTTTTTTTAATATACATATAAAAGAATACATATTATGATATTAGCTATATTCTCATGTTCTAAGAATTATTTGTGTAGCATGGTTTTTTTAAAAAATTTTTTTATTCTCAAAGGAAAGTAAAAAAAAAATCATGAACGTTTTTTCCCTATCTGATGTCCGAAAGAGGAATTTTTTGAAAATTATTCTGCAGAAAAGGAAAAAAAAAAGTTCTATAGAAAAAAAAAAATCTTTCAAAATATTCTGCAGATAAAAAACTTTTTTGCTTCCCAAATAAAAAATCTTTCTGCAAGAACTCTATAATGCTCTGCGACAATGTCACCTTGTCGCCACGGGGGTCTGGTCCTTTTTTATTTTATAAATAATTGTAGTAGTACTAATTTTTTTAAAATTTCGTTTTAGTTTTAAAATTGTTGAAAATCACAATATGTCAATTGTTAATCCATATTTTATCTGTTACAGCATCCACAGATTCAAACGAAATCGTCCAAGTACATCAAGTACCTCTGTGCCGAAGATGAACAAACTTTAAAATTATGGGTAATGGGAATACGTATTGCTAAGGTATGTATAATTTGATTTGTGTTCTTTCAAATAACAATTGTTTTCAAGGACATGATTTGTTATGTTTAAATTTGCTGTCCTGAAACCTTAATATTCAGAGTATTTCTAAATGACTACTGATTATATATCATTAGCCTGTAACCATGGACGCTATATTTTGCTTCTATGTGATATTATTTTTCTATATTAAATAACCCAAAATAGTACATTATATATTGATTCCAGAGTTGGGCAAGAATGTAATTGATTACATTTTTCGATTACAGTAATCAATTACTTGTAATCATGATTACAACTTTGATTATAGCTGTAATCATGATTACAATACATTATGCTATCTACTGTAAAATATAATCATATATTGGTATGCAATAGTATAAATCGTATATTTAGATTAAGGGTAATAATAATTACATATAATCCAGATTGCATGTAATGGTATATTTTGATTACCAGTAATTGATTACAGGAATTGGTTATGTAATTATTACAGGAATTGGTTATGCAATCAAGATTACAATTTTAATAATGATTACTGTAATTGAAAAATGTAATCATTGTTGCCCTACTCTGATGTAATCAAAAATTATGATTACTTGTAATCGCAATTACCTGTAATCGTGATTACAAGTAATTGATTACATAGTAGTTTTCTGTAATCACAGTTGTAATCAATTACTGTACTGATTGATTCTACTAGGATTCATAAACAGAGTATAATGTTATTTTTTAAATACTTTTTTTTGCTATTTGGAAATATACAGTTGCACTCGCTTATGACGAGTCCTGATTTAACAAACAAATCTGATAGCTGTCTTGTAATGAGTGAACCATGTTTTTAGTGTGCAATGTTCGGCGATTCATAAAATTTCTACTTTTAATTCCACCTCACCAGCTTAATTAAATCCTTCGTGAATAAATGATTTAGGTTTTTTGGGCCGACTAATTTTTTCAATGTTTTTTGGGTCACAAGTCATATTTGAAGAATAATAGCACATGAGACAGTTCTAAGCAACTCATTTCTTTTGTACTGTACAGAAATTTTAAAAAAACAAGTAGGTACTATATTTTTATTTTCCTAAGTATATGAATTTGCATGATTTTCTCTCAAACCAGTTTTTTACTAACAGTTGTAACGAGCAAATATTACGGCCCCTTCACATACATTATAAGTGAGTTTGACTGTATACATAAATTAATATATAGAATTAAATGTTTTTTTTTGTGTTTATATCATTAATTTAAAGTAATCAAATTTTAAATGTTTAAAATAGGAATGTTTGCTTAATCTTCGTTAGTTTTAAGGTTTTAATTAAATTCTGTAAAAATTATCTGGGTCATAGTAAAAGTAATAATGGGAGGAAAATATTTTCCGTAATATTGCTGTTGTATAAAACTAACCATACCCAACATAATCATTACTATAACAGATTACTTTCCACTTAATTATTTTCAGACTGAAATTTGCTCGAGATTTCATGTTTTTGATGTGTTTTTTCTTTATTTTAATATTTTAGTTTGGCCCACTTCTAAAAGAGAACTATGATAACCTTATGCGTGATATAGTAGAGGAGGACTTGGAAACCCTCGCTCATGCTCGAAGTTTCTCTGTGTCATCTATGGCAAAGACATTGGCAGTGAGCTCAGATAGTTCTGGCAGCTCAGGCAGTCCAGAAAGGCAAGATATTTCCTTAGAAGATGTTGTTTTCTCTGGACCTCATGCTGCTCCTCACACACCTGAGCAGTCTGAAGCAGACATCTTGAGCAACCGCAGTTCGGAATCCACTCCTACTCCTACACCTATGGAATGGATCAGTTCTAAGGACCACATGACTAGACACGATTCTGTCAAGTCGAGTACGAGCAGTAGCAGTGGTTGCTTATCAGAACGCTCAAGTGTGAGTACGCCCACAGCCGAGCAAATGCCATTCGAACCCTCGGAGATACCAGTCGGATCTCTGAAAAGAAAACCGAGTCTTACTCCTAAAATTCCTCTTACTTATACCACAAGAAACATTGCGAAACAGTCTGAAGATAATTTCCATATGATGTTAAACCGGGAACGTCTGACCCATAGCAACAGCACTGCCAATAATGCAACACTCACAAAACCTTTAAACAAACGATTTAGTTTGCGTCGATCTCAAACAGATGATCAAATAATGGTGAATGGAATTATGAAAAGTCTTAACAGAAAATCGTCTGAAATTGCTGCTTTGAATTCTAGACTCAGTAATCAAGAAAGGCAGTGGGGCGATTTTACACTACCACCACCTCCTATGTCTGTAAGCAGCTCAATTGAGAGCCTTGATATTGCTCTTTTACCTCCACCTCCTCCAGAAGCATTTCGAGGAAGTACGACCAGCCTAGATTCTTTACCACCACCTCCCCCACCATTAGATTTATCAGAAGAATGCAGTTGGCCCAGCACTTCTAGCTTGAACTCTCTCCCTCCCCCTCCTTCACCCCAGTCCACACCTACCAGAGAGCGACTACAGAAGCAAAATAGCCCAGAATCCCCTTTGAGATCTCTTCGAAACATGCCACAAAAGACTGACAGGCGTATGTCTGAGGCAGACATCCCGCATCAACCACTGTCCTTTCTTGCCGAGTTGAAACAGGGTGTAAGCAGCCTGTCCCGTGTTTCTAGCAAACCACCTCAACGTAGTCTGCTAGGTAAAGACATTTGGAAACAAGATCACTCTGGTAATGTTACCAGTTTTGCGTGCCCCAAGAATGATCGTAGAACTAGTGTCCCCATGACCTTAGATATTATACCAGATCTTCCGAGCAATGCCATACCACCACCTCCTCCTCCGCCTATTCCACCGACGTCTACTATACCACGTGGCATGAAATTCTCTGAGCGTCCCCTTCCGCCTGTCAGAAAGGAAGAAACTAGATTGTCACAAGATGGACCTGTCCTATTCAGGAGAAATCAGACACCTGCCACACTCCCTGGTCAAAAAGCGTCACGTATCACGCCACCTCCTCGTACATTTTTAAAGGACCTTCAGAAAGTCATGGAAAAGAAGTGGAAAGTTGCTCAACAGTTATCCGTGGATTTGAGTTCTACTCCCAATGAAATTCTCGGCTTCCGCGACCATTGCTACCTGCCTCCAAACTCTCAAAGCCAAACACTGGGGCCACCTCCCCCACCACCTCCTCCCCCTCTACCACATACTTGGAGACCAAGGTCTTTGTCACAGAGCATGATGCAATGCTGCAACTCTGCAGAAGACTCTGCTACTCCAAAGAAACGGCCACCCCCACCACCACCGAAACGAAGTGAAACGACTCATTTATCTCAGCGATAAATATATTTAAGCTAATAGGGCTCAATATTTTTGGTGCTCTGGCTCTGTCTTCTTTCGGAAAGATTTTTGGTACTTGTCCTTTATACTGCTCACATTTTTCTAGTCGCCGAAACAAATAATGAACATAGTCTCTGTGCCAACTGTTGTTCACCTATATTCAATAGTTACATCTATCTTGCCATGACATAATATTCTTTGGAATAAAAAGGTTAGAAATGTTTCTGTTTGATGAAAAAAAAAATGGCTCAGAACACAATATGAAGATCTAGTATTTCTACTTGTAAATAATTTTTTCTTATTATGCTTAAAATCAAATGCAATTCTCTGAATTGTTCGCTTTGCCCATTTTATGTAAAACCATGAATTTTTGCTTCTTTTGAAGCAAAAATTAACATCTTAGAATTTGTTATTTATAAATTTACGTCCACATAGAACTGGTTCTCTATTTTTATCATTAGATAAATATTGTTTAGTCCAGTTGGAATCAGTTTTGCGACTTGAAAACAACATAGCCATTATATAGGATGAGTATCGATTTTTTGCACTTCATCATTTGAGGTTTAAAGATGATAAACAACGCTGACTTGCAAGTATTTGGCTTGTCAAGGAAAATAACGTTTTTTCTGAATATCTCAGAATTTTTGTATTGAAAATTTTTTGTAATGTTGATTTATGTAAACCTTCATACTCTCGAATAACATTCATTTTATAAGTTTTTGTACTGCAACAATTTTTCATGTTTTTCTTTTTTCCAGTCTCATATAAACTAGTGTCAGAGTCTTACATGTTTCTGTATGTGTTAACTGCTCATATCTATATGAAGTTTAAATCATGTTAGAGATATCTAGTAAAGTAAGTTTCTTCTAGCTGAAAAACTGAATGATCGATTTCAAGAAATGAAGAAGGTGCTTTGAGAGCTTTTAAGAATAGATTAAGTGCTTGGCATTAGTGTGTGTCTGAAAGGATTATTGATTAGGATGTAATGATTATTTTTTTAAATTTATTTCTGTGATTTTATTTTAAAGTGTTGTCCAAAAGTCTCCCATTCAACTCAAAAACACATATCTTACAAAACACAAGACATAATCTGCATCAAAATATATATCTGAGGCTTCTAATTTTTGAGGGGGACAAAATTGAATGTTGAAATTTTTGATTTCTGTTTTACCAAAATTTAAATCTATGACAACACATCATTTTTTTTCTGAAATAAAGAGACTTTTTCTAAATTTTGAGGGGGGCATATATTTACCCTTGCAATCGTTCATATAAAATAAAAAACACATTTGAGTTAGAGAGCAGAGGTTCGTAATTTTAGTTTCATTCTCGAGTTTCCCAAAATGGTAGTAATGCTGCAAGAGCAGTAATGCTCAATAAGTAATGTTGCAGCAATCTGGTTATTTTTTTTTTCCTCCTTTGTGAATTATGTATCAAAAAATTCTGGTATCTAATATTGCACTGTTTGTAGTTTTCAAATCTCACATTATATATTATTCAATTTTCATGTGGGAATTAAGTTTACCAAGGGTTATAAAAAGAAACAAAACATAATTACCCAGAGAGATATTTCGCAAAAGATACAGCAATATTTTATCTTTTTCTCAACTCAAGAACCACTGGAATTGTTACACTTGACATATTGTGGGATAAGTTTATGCTATCCCGTGTTCATAAAATTTTGGAGACAGCTGATCCGTACGATAGCGATGCCCGAACAAGAATTTCTTCAGGTTCAAAAGCAGATGGAAGTTCCTGGAATGATGATCCTACAAGGTCCACCCACATACGACGAATTCCACGAAAAAATTTGCTTCATAAGTTTCTTGGCCATAGAAATCTAGACTATTTCAATCAGACTACTATTTCAATCATGAGTTTTTTTTTTCAATTTTGTCCATTTGTTAGATCTTTTTTTCGGTACTTGAAATTTAAAAACGTCCTTTCCATACCTTAACTATCTGTAATTGTTAAAAAGCCTTTCAAGTTCATCCTGTTAAATAAAATATATGAAATAAAAATATTATTTTCTTTTAGAAATTATACTATCTTCTAAATTTATAAGATAAAATATTGTTTAGAGTAAGACATAGTACATTTAAGTTTAGCAGTGGATTTTCCATAAATTTTTTCTTTAATAAAGTGATGGCAAAACTTTTGCTTTTCTATTTTATTCTTAAATTTCTAAATTAAAAATGAATTTAACCACCACCGCAAATAAATTAAATATATATACATAAGTGCATGATTAAATGATAGTTGGATCCCGATAAAGTATATAAATATTTTTGCTTACACTTCAGTTTGTTTTTAGAATATCATTTCATTACCACTTGAAGAAAATCATAGTATGAGATAATAATATTAATATTTCTTCATTTTGGTATCATCAAATGCTCATCATCATAGATGGCAAGACAGCCCAATGTGGGCCAATGCCTTCCTCTGAAGATTTCTCCATAACGACTTCCGCTATAGATCATTATATCATGAAATGCTAATAAATGCATTACAAAAATGATTTGTTGTATTAAAATTCTGTAATACAGTGAGATAAAAAAAAACTCTGTCATACAATGGCTAATTTCTTGTGTTTTGATTAAGATGTATTAGTAAGAAGTTTTTGCTATTGATTCGAGAATTTTAATGGAACTTTTGGACCATTGTAATTTTTTTTTGTTATACGTAAACCAAGAAAATTTTTATTGAAATCTTTTTGGTTGACTACCAAAGTTTGTGTATTTATATTTGAAATAATACATATCAAACCCTACCAAGTCCATTATAAATAATCAAAAGAGGTTTATGAAAAATATTTAAATATAACTTGTAAATGTTCTTCTGTGAATTTTAAATGCATGAAAATCTTTTTAATAAAAAGTTTGAAGAAGTTGAAGCTTTTAAATAACTGATTTTTTTTATTCTTGGACTTGGTAAAGTTTGCATTTCTAATGTCTTCATGTCTAAAAGAGTTTGTTTTATGTATCAAATTGTGCAATTATGATTTAATTTTTCGAAAATAGTCTATTGAATTTCTAATAAATAACACTAAATAATATATTCAATTAAAAATGAATTGTTGCATTTTAAATGCTATATTTTAAAAAAAATAATAAATATTTAAAATATGTAATATAATATTGCAATTGAAAAAAAAAAAGATTTTTTATATAAAGTTGAAAATTCTGTAATATAATATATTATAAATTGCTTAAATCAAGTGAGAATATCAAAATTATTGTTTATCAAAATTTTTACTTACAATATTTTAATAAATATTAAAAAAAAAATTTATATTATATATGAAAGGTTATAAAAGAAAACTCGTCGCGAAAGGGTTAAATATATTTATATATGCTGTTTTTCTTATTAACAATTTTGATATTTTCAAAATTTATTTACCATTAAACAATTATTTCAGTAAATTCAAATATTTTACAAATTGTTTTATATTACAACCTTTGGTAATATTATCTGTTCTATTCTTTTTTGTTTATTTTGTTTTTACTAATGCTAACTCATATGAGAGAAAAGTGAAAAATTTTTGCACAAATATCTAAAAAAGTCAAGCATTGATTTTGGTATTTATTTAATCAATTAAAACTGTTAAAAGTTGATTTGGTTTTGTAGTTATGCTGAGGCTCGTTAAAATTGCTCTTGAAATAATTAAAGCATACACTTACTGTATATTTTCATACCAGAAGATTTTCTGTACATTTATGAATGCTCTAAATCATATTTAATTTCATCAAAAAAGTGATTAGTGAAGCAGGAGTTCGGCTTGATGCTCCCCTTAGAAATGTAGTACTATTTTTAGTTTTCAACATCAAAAAGTCACACTTTCAAAAAAAAAAAAAAAAAAGACTCAAATGTTAGCAAACTTGCTTAAATTTTAAAATTATTACATCTTTTTGTGATAAAAAATTTTAAATCTTGTACAGAATATTAATAGCATCTTTTAAAAGATTGAATTCTAATTATATTAATCATTAAATAAATCAAACTAATGATTGCATAAGTATCACATAAAGTAGATGTATACATATCAAATATTAATAACAAACATTTGAAGCCTTTCCCGAGACTGTGCCCAGGCCCCGTACGCTATAGAACTTCAGAAAGTGCACATTTCAACCTATCCCTCCCCCTTTTTGAAGTAAAATGAAGTATACTCTCGATATCTCGAACTCCAATTTCTCGAAAACCTTATGTCTAAAAATACTTTGCCATTACATATCCTCCTAATGTTAATTTGAATTCCTATGTCGAAGGGTTTCTTCTCAAAACCTTGCTATGTCGAATTTTTGTCAAAATAGAAAATAAATTTTTTCACAAAAATCACAGTTCATTGCTATCCAATTTTCTATTTAATGCATAATTATGTCTTACTTTTAAAAATAAAATGACCATTGTTGTATTTAGACTTACTGTCGACTATCGTTACATACAAATTTAATAGAAGTTAATCTTATGACTCTACTTTTTAAAGTAATATTTTAGAATTTAGTTTTCTATGTTTTAGAACATATTTAGTTCAGAACTTGTTATCTCAACACTATCTCGAAATTTCTTTATCTTCCCTTCAACTTTAAGATATCGAGAGTATACTGTTGTCACATACAAAAACAAACATAGCATAACTACTTTAAATAAAAATTGCAACTTTCTAAGATATTTGTTGTTAAAAAAAGCTTTTTCTCCATAAAATTAGCTTAAGATAACTGGCAATTGATGAGTTCTCCTTAAGATAAGCTTAACTTATAAGTTGCATATTTTGGTTTCTTTCAAAAATATCAGTATTATAAGTTGTGTTTTTATGTGACCGAAATGAATTATGAGTGCTATGTAAAATATCTTGCTTTAGAATCACTGAAGCAAAAGGTACTGTAGAAGCTGCATAGTTTGTCAAGCCATTGTTGGTTATGTTGATTTCAAAAACTTTGTTGTACATATATACATTTGCCAAAGATTATTTATTATTTTTTCTATTAATCAATTTTTATTTATATTGTATGTATGTTTTGTGAAAAATGTGTGCGCATGTTAACCTAGACACACATAAAACCGTTGAAAAAATTCAGATTGTTTAATAGTATTATTAAATTGATAGTTATATATAAAGAAAGCTTAAATTGGTTAAAAGTGATTGTAGTAATTAAATTGATTTGGGGAATTTTTAATTTAAAAAAAAGGAATATATTTTTAAAAGAGTCTAAACTTGTATTGTTTGTCTTGATAAGAAGTGTCCATAAAGTATATAGAGCTTCGGAAAGTTCCAATGTATCTTTTTTTATGTTATTTATCAAGAATTGGCAGAAAAGTAATTATTATTATAAATTTATTACAATACATTTTATTGGAATATTTTTATTACCGTTAATGTGTGAAATCTGTTTTTTCATAGAATAATTAGGTATTTCATGAAATAATTCAATAAGTCAATTAAAGCATATATAAAATTAAAGAATTCAACGATTTAACTAGGTATTCTATAAAATAACGATTACTGGATCGTTGAAGTATGAAATACGACACTTACAAAAGAATACATTTCTAACTCTTAAGATTTTGGCCTTATATATTTTTAGTTTATTAAAAANATAATTAGGTATTTCATGAAATAATTCAATAAGTCAATTAAAGCATATATAAAATTAAAGAATTCAACGATTTAACTAGGTATTCTATAAAATAACGATTACTGGATCGTTGAAGTATGAAATACGACACTTACAAAAGAATACATTTCTAACTCTTAAGATTTTGGCCTTATATATTTTTAGTTTATTAGAAACATAAACATATTTTAGTTCTTTTTCAAAATTTTAACCTAATCATAACTACTTAATAAAATACAGTTTCATCAGGAAATTTTTCATTTTTTTTTTTATAACTTGTAACATAAAAATATCAAGTATAGCTATCATAATTTAGAATATAAAACTTCGAATAATTTTAAAAAGGAGGGAAGAAAAAAAAAACATATTAATTTTAAGCTCACTCCATCCTTAATGTAAATTAAATTTTGTTTTAACTCTCAGTGTAAGTTATCTCTTAACTAGATTCAGTTGCTCGGAGTTGTCATTTGTACAATATTTTTGTTTGAAATTTTCCATCCTTTCACATTTTTCTTATTGTAAACAAACTTTGTTATAAGTTTTATTAGGCAGATAATCTTTCTAGTTTTGAAAAAAAAAATGCTCCTGAATAGAGTTATTCTCTGCATTGAATGCTTGTATAGGAAGAAAAGAAATGTCTATCAAGAAATTATCTTTAAGAATGTTATCTGCTTTAGACAGCCTTGTTGTATGTTAATGACTGTCAAATAAAATTTAAAATTTTTGTCTAATTTTTTGTGTGTGTCAAATGCATCACATACTAAACAAATTAAAGTAGAAAATGCTCTATTGTTTACAGGATGTATCATCATCACCTTTCATATATACGTAGGTGGATCAAGTATTAGGGGGACGGGAAAGTAATGTCGTTTTGCCGCATTAAATATTCGTTAGTCTTATAAACTAATTCACTTGTTTCGATTCATTATCGATCCGGCATAGAAAGGTTATTGCTAACGAGGGTGAATACATTATTGATTAAAAATAAAATCTTGATAACAAATATATAATGCACTGAAATGACATTACCTCCCAGCCCACCTAATATAAATGAACCTTTTTTTAATGCAGGCAATTTTTATTCTCGTTATCACGGGGACTTAATCTAGTTAGGTACTTTTTTTACGTCTCACTAGGGCTGCACAATGGGCTATTGGCGAGTCTGGGAAACATTCCTGAGGATGGTCCGAAGACCGGATCATCGCAATTTTGATCCTCGGCAGAGGGTGTGGCTCCCCTGCTTTTGTAGCCCGACCACTTGCTCGCGAAGTCGAGCACTTTAAGGTAGAACAGTTTAACGAGGACCGATACCGCGCATCCTCGGTCCCCAGGCAGGCAAGTCAAAGTGGTCATTCACCCGCTTACTGACCGCAGCCTCTGACTCTTGACTTCGGTGTTCTTCTGGGAACCGTGTCTTTACGATCAGTCCACTGCGGGACTGACTTTATCTAGTCTTAATAATTATTTGAAGGTATAAATTTAGTTCTTCAAGTCCTTTTTTTTTTAGTAACTTGAATTATAAGTGAGCCTAATGCGGTTTGTTTGTTTGTAGTTCATTTACGTCGCACTAGAGCTGCACAATGGGCTATTGGCGACGGTCTGGGAAACATCCCTAAGGATGATTCCGAAGACATGCCATCACAATTTTGATCCTCTGCAGAGGGGATGGCACCCCCGCTTCGGTATCCCAACGACCTGAACGCGAAGTCGAGCACTTTACGGTAGAACAGTTTAACGAGGGCCGATACCGGGCATCCTCGGTCCCTAGGCAGGCAAATCAAAGTGGTCATTCACCCGCTTACTGACCGCAGTCTCTGACTCTTGACTTCGGTGTTCTACTGGAAACCGTGTCTTTACGATCAGTCCACTGCGGGACCGACTTTATCTAGTCTTAATAATTATTTGACGGTATAAATTTAGTTCTTCAAGTCCTTTTTTTTAGTAACTTGAATCATAAGTGAGCCTAATGCAGCTTGTTTGTTTGTAGTTCATTTACGTCGCACTAGAGCTGCACAATGGGCTATTGGCGACGGTCTGGGAAACATCCCTGAGGATGATCCGAAGACATGCCATCACAATTTTGATCCTCTGCAGAGGGGATGGCACCCCCGCTTCAGTAGCCCGACGACCTGAACGCGAAGTCGAGCACTTTACGGTAGAACAGTTTAACGAGGACCAATACCGCACACCCTCGGTCCCTACCCAGACTGAGCCAGTGATGCTTGACTTCGGTGATCTGTTGGGAACCGTGTCTTAACGATCAGTCCACTGCGGGACCTAATGCAGTTTCACGACGCATAATAATTAAATTTTTTAGCGAGAAAAATATCAAACCTATTGAAATTTGACTCATATTAGAGGCACAGTTCGGCAATGATGCCCTGTCGAGGGCTCAAGTATACAAATGATGCATACAAACCCCAGCAGCAAAATAACGGGCCCTCATTGGACCAATATTCACGAATCTTGATTCAATCAGTGTTCAAAGGGCTGTTATTTTCCGATATTGGCCCCATACAGCCGCCCCTATTATTTGGGTTTACGACTATTTATGTTCAACTCCATAGCCTTGTAATTTTGAACCCAATTCAGAAGACAAGGGAACTCCTGGGTCAAGCATTGGGAGAAATGTGCCTTCGTGGAGGACTTTTTGATGGAACTAACCCGCATTTGCGTAACATGGAGAGGAAGACCACGAGAACCTTCCACGATTAGCCTGACGGCATAGGGACTAACATAATCCGTCTACCACTGAGGATATTTCACAGTCGATGCAAGCCGGATTCGTATCGACCAGTCATTGCTGGGAGTTGAACTCGGTTCACCTCATTGGAAGGCGAACGCTCTATCCCCTGAGCCATCGCGGCTCAATACTTAGTTATTAAAGAAGTCGTATTTATATTTGATCTACCCTCGTATATCTAACACCATTGTACACAACAACATAAGGCAACTATTATTAAATAGGCGGAAGACAGCAGAATAATCATATGTGAAAAATATAAAGTGATTAAAAGTTACCAAAGCTGAATAAAGTAACTTTTTGTCTCTTTACTACTCCTGTTTTTGACTTCCTCTAATTCTTTAAACATTCTTAATATCTATCTGTATTTTTCAGTCAGTCTAAGCTTTCTCCTGCCATTTGAGGCCCAGGAGGGAGAAACTTGTCTCTTGGCATTCTTAGTATTTGCTCCGTCGATTTCCACCTTTTTCTTGTTGATTGCGAAAAAAAGCTACATTTTAATAAAAAAAGTAACTCGTGTCGACCCCTGTGGTGATTACAGGAGGCCATGTATTTAGAATCCTCAATGTCATGTTCACTATTTTCAACTTATTTTTTTTAGGTAAAAATTACCGAAAATAAGATACAATTTTAAACCCAACAAAATCTATATGTATGTATAAAAATCAATTGCTAACTCATAGGTAACAAAATGTTATTTATTTAATTGTCCAGAGTAATGGTGAACTTGGTTTTGGAAAAACACAATTTAGTGGGAGAGCAACACCAGGGTCTTCGGGTCAATTTTATCCTAAACAAGTAACTTTCTTTCTTGTTAGCTGCTATAAATTGCTGAAATTTCACAACATTTGTGTAGATGTAGAATATAAAAATTGGTAAAAAGTATACGTCTAATTGCCATTGACTCTTAATTTCAAACTTCTAAGACAACTTTAGCATAATTTAGTTTCCATGGCAGGCTTATTGTTAAAACTAAAATAATTTCTCCAGGATAACAACATGAATAACTTTTTATAGAATTACCCAAATATCTTCATCACAGTTTTTAAGTGTCAATAATTTCACAAAAGAATGCATGCTAATAATTTTGAGATTCAGTCAGACAAAGATATCTTGTTGATACACTTCACGTTAAATCTACAAGGAAATTTTTGCGTAGCTTCTTTTCTGTAAATTTTGACTTTCAATCACTCGTAGAAAGTTAACACACAACCATAGCTGTGGGGATAGTAGTTACCGACAAAGTCAACCTTCATCTACGAAAAGGTACCCCAACATAGAATCCAGTTAACATGTCTTATATACTACTGAATTGGAATTATATTTTTGTAGTGGTATACAGACTATAGTACTCCCCCACCAGAATTATATCTGTGATAAAATTCGATGAACGGATACCCCTAGTTGATTCATTGCTGTTTTGTGAGAAGCCGGGAGAGCTGTAATAAGATCACCGTACCTTTTAAGTGCTGAACGCGAGAGCTGTATTAAGTTCATGGTTGTGGTCGCTCCTATGTTGCCATTAGCAGTTGAGTGTATACAGGCCGACGTGCCGACGTTGTGTGTGATCTTGACTGAGTAGCAACCGCGCCAGGAAATGGATAATCCTGCAGTCACAAGTCAACTGTTCAATGGGGAATCCATTGAAGTAGACGTATTCATATCGAAGTGGCCGTTTCTGTCAAGGTAGGCATGTTCACAACACGTCTGAAAGGTGACCAGTTAGTAGTTATCGACAAAGTCAACCTTCATCTGAAAAGGTACCCCAAGATAGAATCGAGTTAATATGTCTTACAGGGTGCGTAGCCAAATTATTCAACAAAAAATAAGCACCTTTTAAGCACTCAGAAAATATTTTCAAGCGCTTTAAAATTTTTTGACAATTAACTGTTTTTTCCTGTTTTAAACCGTCATGTCAAAAAAAAACTTTTGGCATTTTCCTACGCTACGGACAGACAATACGCCGAAATAGGGTTGAATTAATTGTGAAAACGTTGAATAGAACAATGTGAACCGTGTCTTTTTGCATAATTCGTAGCGAAAATCATCATGGTAAATGTACACGTAAAATCTCCTTTTCAAAATGGAAAAATTAAGCACTTTTTAAAAACACCTAATGAAAAAAGCATCTTTAAAAAACGCTACGCACCCTGTCTTATATAGTGAATTGGAATTGTATTTTTGTAGTGGTAGACACACTACAATAGCCCTCAGAATTATGTATAGATTTAGGATATCTCAATCATGCATACATATCAGGAAATCACTTTGAACAAGCTGAAAAAACTTCATCATATAAGTCCATTAAGGGGTTGTTCAAATATTATGTAAGCATGTCAAGGGGGGGGATACTTGTTATTTGTTAATTTTTGCTGACAGAGGAAGAAGAGGGGTATGTCTAATGGCGATCGAAATGGGCTACAGGTGGAGCCGAGCAGATCTCTCTACCTATGGCAGGGATGGCGAACCAATGGCACGCGTGCCATTTATGGCACGCCACATAATATTTTGGGCACGCCACCGATCACGAAGTTCACTCTGAAGCAATTTATCAATTAAATTAAAATTCACAGAAATAAACATAAAAAAATAAACAATTATTGACAAAAAAAATTACAATTAATGCCAAAAAACAATTAGTTACCAAAAAAACAAGCTAACAATAAATAACTAGCAAAAAAAAAAAAAATTAACAGACCTGCTTAAAATAACATCTTACAACCTAATATAAGTTATTTGTCATATAATCTGCAGCAACAGAAGTCACACTGATGTTACTTTAAGTTGAATTATGCGCAACTGAGACATTGCGAAATGTATTCTTTTTCATAGCAAATAAAGAGTTTTGAGTTGATAGTATTTAGTGTTATTATTTTCCCAATAATCACGAAGTCAAAATTGTTTGACGGCACGTCTATGACCAAATTAAACAATTTTTTAGAAAAAATGGCACGTTGGTGCATAAAGGTTCGCCACCCCTGACCTATG